TGGTGACCAGCATCCAGACGCTCTCGACAGCTCCTGAGTGCTAGCTGCACCACCGGCGAGCAGCACCTCGAGATGACCATAAATGTGAGCAGGTGAGCAGCACGAAACTCCCCGCGCAGCTCGACATCGTCCTCGTGCGGAATTGGCACAGTACCGTCGGCAAAGCCCTTCAATCCAGCGACCTCCAGCTGTGGTTCAATCGACTCCCTCCACATGATGAGGTCCCGTCGACCTTGCAGAGGAGCGACAGTGATCTTGTCCGGCGAAAACTTGAAGTAGCCATACGTCGGCGCGATCCCGCCCGCCGTCACGTGCGTCGTCGCCGAGGGACTTCCACTGCTTCGTTGAGGAGAGCGTCGTCGACCATCAACGTCTGCAGCTGCCGTCGACCACTGCACTCGCACTTGACTCCCGCCGACACCACCGTCGGCACACCTGAGCACTCCTATCTGCCTCGTGCCCTCGTTGCCACGAACTCTTGCACCGCTGTTGACTTCCTCGTCAACGCCACCTTCGTTGCGTGCCGGTCGGGGAGGAGATGCAGGAAGAGAAGGGTGTTCCGCCGCCCACTGCACCCGGATGCCCAACTCGACGATCTCCAAGGGGATCGTCCCGTACTCGCCAGCCTCGTGGCGTCTCCTCGCATCGGCTAAACGAGTCTCCAAGGTGTCCGCTACACCCGCTTCTACAACGGGGTCGACCATGGTGACTAGTGTTGTTGCCGGCCTACGAACGACTTAGTAGGTGCAAAAGTCGGCTCCTATCTGAAGGTATCCTTGCGGGGCCGTCCACGCTCACCGCACCATGCGGAGAATTCTATCCTATGGGGAGGATGGCGTGAGGGCGCGAGGGGTAGAATTCTGAGTGTTGCTCTTGACAGAGTTGCTTGTTGACTTAGGAAAGTTCAAGCATAGTTTTCACTAAGAAAAAAGGGTTGAACAAGAACAAGTATGGTACAACAAGAGAACCATATACTAGAACAAAGAACCCTGCAGAACGTTCCTAGTGGAACGTTTGACTCTCTACCATGCATGTGCTTTGCCAACTCAGCAATGGCAGGTGAAACAACAAGCCCATGTGTTCCCACCTAACTTGGTTGTTATCCAGGTTGTACATGCACAGTTATGCACGTTTTGTAGTTACAAAAACGTGTAGCAGGTTCTTTTTCTGTGGCAGGTTCAATTTCTCCTGGCGGGTACAATTTCCGTCAGAATCTGATTGGTCGAAATTTCCCTGCGCTCCCATTGGTCGAAATTCGCGCACATTGTGAATTTCTCGCGAAATTCATCTGTGCGTTCGCGTGGGTGTGCAGGGGTTACCGCGACCCTGCGCACATGAACTTCCGCGACCCTCTGCACCAGCTACGCCCTTTGCACCTGTGCACAAGGTGCTGCTGCTGCACCTACGAAGTGTACAGTACCTCGTGCACAGGTGCCTCGGCACTTCCCTGTGCACAGGTACTGCACATTCGTGCGAATCCTCGGAACAGCACCTGCGGAAGCCACAAATTTCGCCCATGCACATGCAGGGCTCATATCAACAAAGTGCACGTCTGATAGAAACAAAATCTATCATCTAGGCTACGTGGTATGAATTTCTAGGACAAATATGTATGAAGTTTATCTAGGCTACACGATATTACTTTGTTATATTTAGAGATATTCTGTAAAGCTTGAAAATATTCAAGCTCAAGAATTAGACTTTCCATAGTGCTTGGGTTTTGAGAAATCAGCCTGAAAGAGTTCACATCTATTACCTCTATCAGTCGAAAGGCGCCAGCCAGCCCCTCCCGCAGCTGCAGCACCTTCAGATCTGCTCTGAGGTGCATCACCCCATTCCTGGAGGCTGCCATAAGCTCAGCTCCTTTTCCAATGTGCCTCCTCAACTGTGTCTCCATCTAAAAAATGTGGCCCTTAAAAATTGCAATTTACAGCCATAACCGCCATGTCCATGGCAGGATTATGGCCATAAATTGGCTGGCTGTATGCAGGCCGCTTCGTAGGCGTTTAGGTACCGTAAATCATTGGGCTGTACATTGACTATAACAGCCATTTATGGCCCGTTCCACATTGTCGTGCATAGCCACGTATGGTTGTGTATTTGAGTACTATTTACAGGCATGTATTGTCTGCCTGTAAAAGCACCTGAATGGTGGGACAATTAATCGCTCTTAATTTGAGGACAATAAATTTCAATGTATTGGCAAACTATATATTGACACAAGCATCAAGAGCATTAACTGACGTTTTTGACAACATCAATGTATCGGAAAATGTTTTGCACCTGCTATTGTTTAGTAGTGTTCCGGAAATGGAAATATTGATGTAACATATACAAAAGGCACATACATTACAAAACATCCATTTACTGCCCTAGCCATGATATAAAACTACTAGGGCTAGTAGACCAATTTCACAGCTAAGGTATTTGAGCCAATTGACTTCCACCTGCACATAGAAACAACGCCATGGTTAAAACTGCTTGTAGGCGCCAGATCCGCGAACGATACAAGCACAACACATCTGCCACACAAATCAACAGCCATTTCGTGTGAGGTTAGACCTACTACGAATACGGAGAAGGCAGAAACAACACTCAGGCTCACACAACAGCCAGATGTTAAACCTGCGCCTGCCAATGAGAAGTGCCAACAAGAGTGTGCGCGGAACTTCGACAACGACATGTCTAGACGTCGCATGCCTAGGACAACTAAGGATCGTAGCCGTAGCAGAACTCGTCGCGATGAGTGCTGTGATCGAGTGGAACTAGACGAGGAATAATCAGATGGAAGAGCGAGGAGAGGAACGAATGAAAAAATGATTTGTGAGAATAATATGGTAAGGAGAGGTGGGTTCCTTTTGTATGGGAATGGGATGGGGCGAAGGTAGGATAGGAAGGGATCGGGTCGAGTGGAGCGCAAGCAAAACGAAAGTGGCGTTGGTTGGGTTGGGAACTTCGGATTGGTTGAACTGCTCACGAGCCGCACTACACCACCCCTGCTCTAAAATCACGGCTGATCGAGCTGATCAGCAGCGACTCGAAAGCTGTAATTTGGCTGCGTCTGGCGACAGGATTGGTTGAGATCGAGCAGCTCCTGCTCTGTACCAATCGCGCTGATGTGCGCCAGCGACTTGTGTGTCTGTGGTGTTCTGTACCTAGCGCGTGAGATGGTGTGTGGTGCCTATGTCTGCTGTGCTGGACGCGAGATGCGGTTTCGATATTAGTATCCAATCGTACAGCCCCACATCATCATCTGAAACCAATTTCATTGGTCAAAAAGATTATTCGAAATATGTGACCCTCCACATCATTCGCACGAAAAAGCATCATCCTGACCAGATGCAGAATACGCAACCAACCCAGAGAGCAAGAAATACAGTAACATAATCACTCAGCACGTTTTTGTAGTTTAAGAGCAGCATTCATTATTTTCACAATAGAATGCAAGGTCCATGCTATCAAGCCCAGCAAAATGCAAGCATGTACCATATAGAATTTGTAGGGTTAACACATGCCTCACTTCTATTGCAAAGAAAGAACCACAAAAAAATGAAAACGCATACACATACACACACACATACGCGCGCATACACACATACACACACACACACACACACACACACACATACATGTCAAACATTGTATGTTTATATTGTGTAGGCTGTAGTGGGTTACACCTTAGGGGGTACACAAAGTTAGGGTTTCCTACTTGTACCAAACTCTGTGCTAGTTCATTCCATTCCTGCTCAGTTATTTCTGACATGGTTTCAGAGCAGGTCCTTCGCTAGGACTGTTCTTAGGGCCCACCGACTTACCTACCTGCTTACCTTCGCTTGTTTCCGGCCCCGCTGGCCCCGTCGATCTAGCACGATCTAGCGGCCCTGCGGCCCCTTCGAATTTTTTTTTTCCTAGCGGCCTCTCACGGCCCCCGTCGCGTCGCCCCTTAGCGCCCCGATCGGCCCCGTCACGCCGCCCGCGAACCGCACAGCGCGCCGCGCTCACAGCCCGCGAACCGCCCACGCACAGCCCGCGAACCGCCTGCGCAGCCCGCGACCAGCCCGCGCAGCCCGCGCACAGCCCGCGAACTGCCCGCGAGCAGCCCGCGACCTGCCCGCGAACCCCCGCGAGCCGCCCGCGACCCGCTTACGCAGCCCGCGAGCAGCCCGCACAGCCCGCGCTGAGCCTGCGCGGCTCGTGCGCTGACCGCCGCCGGCCCGCACGCTGCCCGCACAGCTCACATACGGCCCGCACGGCCCGCGCGCTGCCTGCTCCCGGCCCGCCGCTGCTGAGCCCACAGCCTCCCGCGCACCGCTGCTGCTGAGCCCGCCGCCGCCCGCGCACCGCCGCTGCTGCGCCCGCCGCCGCCCGCGTATCACCGCTGCTGAGCCCGCCCCTGCTGCGCCGGCTCTCGCTGCCGCCTGCTGCGCCTGTGCACCACTGCAGATCCTACTACTACACTTCCTGCTACTGCTGCTTGTGCGCCACTACAGTCCGTAGGCCCCACCGGCCCCGCTGACCCTGCGCACGCCTTTTCAGTGACTTTACTGCTTCTACTACTGCCGCTGTCGCTATGGCTAGTCCTCCTGTTCTAGCTTTCGACGCCGAGGGCCGTCCGGTCAAATTCGAAACCTGGCTAGATGACCTGCACCTTTTCCTACAGCTCACTGCCAAGGAAGATATTACACTGTACGACCACGCTCTCGGCCATGCGACCGCCCCACTCGCTACTGCCCCCCCAGCTGAGCGCTCACAGTGGCAGACCCGTGACGCGCACGCTCGCTTTGCTATTCGCAACTCCCTGCCGCTAGATGAGCGCGAGCACTTCGGCCAGTGCAAGACTGCTAAGGACCTCTACACAGCTGTAGTGGCCCGCTACTCCTCACCCGCTTCTGCTAGGCCGCCTCACTCTCCCCTACCTGTTCCCCGACCTAGCCTCCTTTCACACTGTCGCAGACCTCATCACCCACCTTAAGACTAGTGAGGCTCGCTTTCGCGCTGCCATGCCTGACGAGTTCCTCGCTAGCAACCCCCCCCCGCTCTGGATCACTCTCTACCACGTTGTCACCCGCCTCCCTGACTCTCTGCGCCCTGTCAGGGACCAGTTCCTCTCTCGCTCCCCCACTGAGCTCACCGTAGACCTCCTCGAGAAGGAACTGCTTGCAGCCGAGGCTAGTATCGTCGCTGTAGGCACCTCTCGTGGCGACCCCCGCGGCCCCTTCTTCGAGGGGTGCTCCCCTTCCCCCCTCCTCCCCTCTGTCGCCTCTGCTGCTGCTGTCGACCTCCTTGGTGCTGAGAAGGTCGGGGCTGCGTCTGCTTCAGGCGGACGACGCAGGGGCAGGAGTGGCAGGAGTGGGGGTGGTGGCGGAGGAGGCGGGGGTGGAGGTGGTGGCGGTGGAGGTGCGACTGGAGAGGCTAGTGGCGGCAGTGGTGGAGGTGACAGCGGCGTTGGGAGTGGTGACAGGGGCGGAGGTGGCAGCGGAGGCGGAGGTGGTCGTGGCAGCGGCAGGGGTGGAGGTGGCCGGGGCGGAGGCGGAGGGGGTGGTGGTCGTGGAGGCCCGGGGGGCGGTCAGAGTCAGCAGCCTGCCCCGACCCTTCAGGCCGCCCGTGAGTGGTATGCGCGGCGCAGCGTCACCTGCCAGTACGTTATTCGTACAGGTGACCGCACTGGCCAGACGTGTGGGGGGCCGCACCAGACGGAGCGCTGCTTCGCCCGCCTCAACGATGCGTGGCGCACCCAGTTTCCTGGTGGGGGTGAGCTGCCGCGCTGGGCTGAGCTGCTCAGGAAGGGTGTTGATATTTGGGCACTAGACTTTGATGCTATTCTCACTGCCATGTATGCGATGTCTATTAGTGGAGAGGGTGCTCAGTACTTGCGTGTTCCGCCCGACCCGAGCATTCAGGCCAGCCCCGCTGCTGCTCTAGGTGCTAGTGTGTCTGCTTCCACAGGTACTACTGCAGCTGCTGCTCTAGGTGCTTGTGCGTCTGTGCCCCCTGGTACTGAGTCGACTGCAGCACTGCACACCTTCACACTGGACTCAGGTGCTTCTCGCTCTTTCTTTCGTGACCGCACTGTCCTTGAGCCTCTAGCTCGGCCGGTTGCTGTCTCTCTTGCTGACCCCTCTGGGGGTCCGGTCCTTGCGACCTCCTCCACCACCCTTCCGTGTCCAGCGGTTCCGTCCGGCACGCTCTCAGGTCTCTACCTCCCCTCGTTCTCCACGAACTTGGTGGCAGGTAGTGCGCTCCAGGACGGGGGTGTTCACCAGTTCACCCCTGCCTACGAGCGTGTGACTCACTGCACGTGTGCTCGGACGGGCCGCCACCTGGCTACTTTCACTCGGGAGCCGGGGTCGGACCTGTACACACTGACCACTGCGTCCCCTCAGGTAGCTGCGTCTGCGTCTGCGTCTGCGTCAGGTCAGCTGTCCGCCCCCTGCTCATGTCGCTCTCTGGCGCATGAGACTGTCCTCTGGCACCACCGCCTTGGTCACCCGTCTGTGCAGCGCCTTCGGGCCATGCACAAACGTGACCTTGTTGCTGGTCTTCCCAGGGTGCTCCCTCCCCTTCCCGACTCCCCTGCTCCTGACTGCATTCCCTGTGTCGAGGGGCGGCAGCGCGCCGCTCCTCACTCCTCCTCCTTTCCCCCGACGACTGCTCCCTTGCAGACGCTCCACATGGACGTGTGGGGCCCAGCCCGCGTCTGTGGTCAGGGTCAGGAGAGGTACTTCCTGATAGTTGTTGACGACTACTCGCGCTACACCACGGTCTTCCCCTTGCGCGCCAAGGGTGACGTCCCTGGTGTTTTGATCCCCTGGATCAGCCGAGCCCGTCTCCAGCTAGGCAAGCGCTTTCACTCGGACTTTCCTGTCCTGCGCTTGCACTCTGACAGAGGTGGTGAGTTCGCCTCCGACCTCTTGGCAGCCTACTGTGCTGAGCACGGCATTGAGCAGTCGTTCACGCTTCCGGCCTCTCCGCAGCAGAATGGGGTCGCTGAGCGCCGCATTGGCCTAGTCATGGAGGTCGCTCGTACCTCCCTGACCCATGCGGCTGCTCCCCACTTTCTGTGGCCGTTTGCGGTCCGATACGCTGCGCATCAGCTCAACCTCTGGCCCCGTGTCTCCTTGCCGGAGACTTCCCCGACTCTGCGGTGGACGGGAGAGGTTGGCGATGCGTCGCGTTTCCGGGTCTGGGGATCTCGAGCTTTTGTCCGCGACACGTCCGCGGACAAGCTCTCGCGTCGCGCCGTTCCCTGTGTCTTTCTTGGCTTTGTGCCTGACGCGCCTGGATGGCAGTTTTACCACGTCACCTCGCGCCGGGTTCTGGCCTCTCAGGACGTCACTTTTGACGAGTCCGTCCCCTTCTACCGCCTCTTCCCCTACCGCACTGCCCCGCTCCCCCCCCCGCCTCTCTTCCTCGCTCCAGGTGCTGAGGTACCAGACCCCCTCCCCCCTCAGGGTGCCGCTCCCTCAGGTGTGTCCCAGGTAGACCCGGGTGAGCCTGTCGAGGTAGCTGTTGACTCGCGTCCTGCGTCTGGGGGTGCTGAGCCTGGGGGTGCTGAGTCTGGGGGTGCGGAGCCTGGGGGTGCTGAGCCTGGAGGTGCGGAGCCTGGCGGTGCGGAGCCTGGAGGTGCGGAGCCTGGAGGTGCGGAGCCTGGAGGTGCTGAGTCTGGGGGTGCTGAGTCTGGGGGTGCTGAGTCTTCGGGTGCTGAGCCTGAGCGTACTACACCTGGAGGAGCCCTCTCCTCCCAGCAGCTGCAGGAGAGGTACCTCGAGTACTGCCGCCTCCGGAGAGGTGCTTCTGGAGCTCGTCCCAGTACTTCCCCTCCTACCCAGGAGCTCCCCCCCATTCAGGTGATCCGAGAGTGGTACACACGGCGCTGCAGTCTTCGGAGTGGTGCTCCTGGTGCTGCGGACCCGAGCGGTGGCGCTGTTGCTGGTGCTGAGGACCCGGACGCTGGAGCTGCTGCTGGTGCTGAGGACCCGGGCGTTGGAGCTGCTGCTGGTGCTGAGGACCCGACCGGCGGCGCTACTGCTGGTGCTGAGGACCTGACCGGTGGCTCTGCTGCTGGTACTGAGGACCCGGGCGTTGGAGCTGCTGCTGGTGCTGAGGACCCGGGCGTTGGAGCTGCTGCTGGTGCTGAGGACTCGGGCGTTGGAGCTACTGCTGGTGCTGAGGACCCGACCGGTGGCGCTGCTGCTGGTGCTGAGGACCCGGGTGTTGGAGCTGCTGCTGGTGCTGAGGACTCGGGCGTTGGGGCTGCCGCTGGTGTCCCTGCTGGTTCTGGAGACGCTGCGCGGCCGCGACCGTACTTCGTACCGCTCCTTCAGCAGGTTCTTGGTCAGGCTCCTCCTCCTAGTCCTCCTCCCTCAGTCGAGTGTCCTCTGCCTGTCCAGCCGCAGTCACAGTTACCGCCTGCCTCGCCTCTCCCTGCTCCCTCTCCTTACGCTGGTCCCACAGGAGGTCTTACAGAGCGTCGTGAGCCTGAGTCTCGTCCTGCGTCGCCTGTTCGTACTGCTCGCACTGGTCGTCGTGTCCCACGTGAGCGTCCTCCTCCTGTCCCTGGCACTCACTACATGACTCTGCGTCCCTCCACTGCTCCGCAGCGTGTCCCGCTGCCGTCTCCTCCTGCGTCCTCTCTTCCTACTCTTCCTGACCCGGAGTCTGACTCCCGTCGTGCTGCCAGTCCCACTGTTACGCGTCTCCTCGCTACAGTTGTCACTGACCCGACCTTTGAGTCCTCTGCTGCGTCTGCTCTGGTCGCTGAGTTGGTTGACTTTGCTGCTCGCTGTCGCCTAGACTACGCTGCCAGCCTTGTCGCTGAGTCTGAGTCTGCGTCTGCCTGTCCTCCGTCCGTCGGGGGTGAGTGTGCTCTCGGCACGGACGTCCTTGAGGACAGACAGGAGGAGTTCCACTGCCTTGCTGCTGCTTTGCCCCGTCTCGTGTCCTTGCTAGTTGCCCCTGAGGGAGACCCGGATGCACCAGACATCCCGACCCCACGCTCTTACGCTGAGGCGATGGCGGGTCCCTACTCTCAGTGGCAGTCAGCCATGGACGCAGAGATGGCTTCTTGGAAGTCCACAGGCACCTACGTAGACGAGGTTCCCCCTCCTGGGGCGAACATCGTCAGTGGCATGTGGATTTTCAGGGTGAAGCGGCCGCCGGGTTCTCCGCCTGTCTTCAAGGCGCGCTACGTGGCTCGAGGCTTCAGTCAGCGAGAGGGAGTAGACTTCTTTCAGACCTTCTCCCCCACCCCGAAGATGACTACTCTTCGGGTGCTGCTGCACATAGCCGCTCACCGCGACTACGAGCTTCACTCTCTTGACTTCAGCACTGCTTTCTTGCAGGGCAGCCTGCACGAGGAGATCTGGCTGCGCCGCCCCCCTGGCTTCACTGGGTCAGTTCCTCCTGGCACCCAGTGGAGGCTTCAGCGGCCGGTCTACGGTCTCCGCCAGGCGCCACGTGAGTGGCACGACACACTGAGGACGACACTTGCGGCTCTTGGGTTCGCTCCCTCTACTGCTGACCCGTCGCTGTTTCTACGCACCGACACCTCGCTGCCGCCGTTCTACATCCTCGTGTACGTCGACGACTTGGTCTTTGCCACTGCTGACACCGCGGCACTCGCCCACGTGAAGTCGGAGCTGCAGAGGAGACACACGTGCATAGACCTGGGTGAGCTGACGAGCTATCTTGGCTTGCGGATCACCCGGGACAGAGCACGGCGCACCATCACCCTGACTCAGTCACACATGGTGCAGCAGGTTCTCCAGCGCTTCCGCTTCACGTACTCCTCGCCTCAGTCCACTCCTCTGCCTACCGGTCACTCGCTCTCAGCTCTGCCTTCGGATGAGTCCGTAGAGCCGAGTGGCCCGTATCCAGAGCTTGTGGGCTGCCTCATGTACCTGATGACCTGCACTCGACCTGACCTTGCATACCCTCTTAGCATCCTAGCACGCTATGTCGCTCCTGGCCGTCACCGGAAGGAGCACATGGATGCTGCTAA